CTTACCCTTGACAACCCTAAATACACCCCCCCTCTCTCCAAACCTCACCTCCTCGCTTCATCGGCTTCTCAAGCAACTCGGCCGCCTGTGATTGAGAACCATTCAACCAACCAATAAAACCGAATGATGATGATAATAGGACCGCAGCTAGGATTGTCGTCTCAGCATACCAAACCACGTTGCGAGAATAAGCCACTGAGCCCGCCAGCCGCCCCTCGCAGGTAGCCCGAAGAGATGAGGGGGAGTCCATGTTGCGAATATCATCCTCCCCCTTCTTCCTTGTAGCCCTCTCCCTCCAACCCGTGAAACCCTTCCCTCCTCTATTCTCCCACCCACCATATTTCTCCTCTCCATTAAGACCTTGATCTGAGATGCTATGCCTCAACGCCCAGACACACTCTCTCCCATCACCTCCTCACGTGAATCTCGCCATCGCAGCCCTCCCGCCGCTCCTCGTTCTTGCTCATCCGCAAGGCCCGCCGTCGCGTCCGCCTGCCTCCTCACGTCGATCTTGCCGTCACAGCGCTCCGTCCCTCCTCGTTCCTGCTCTCTCTGCGAGGCCCGCCGTCGTGTCCAAACGTCGGGCGGCGAGTGCTCCCGGTAGCGCTCCGCCGCCGATCATGGTCGTCTGCCCTCTTCGATAAACAAAATCTCTTTTTCTTGCTGTTTCGAACTGCTCTACCTCCAGTAAATCACAAAATCATGGTGTGAATAAGCAATGCCTAGTTCCTTGGAGTTCACCAGCATCCCCTCGATGGCCAACCTTTTATCCCACTTAACCTCGGTACCCAGATCATGGGCCAGATGTTTGCTCCACAGTCTCTCCCACCACACCCAGATTCTCTTTGACTCGATACAGTCCCACCATAAGTGTGGGCCTGTTTCTTCCTTCTTCTTGCATCTGCAGCACCGAACCTCGACTTCCATCCTGTTATTTTTGAGACATTTAGCTGTAGGGACAGTTGTATGAGCTTTAAGCCACAACAAACTACCAAATTTTCCAGAGGGCACCTTCCTCAAGTCCTTCCATAATGTTCGTGGCCGTTAAGATGACACTCACCTGACCGTATATTTCTTGATCCTCCGCTTGGCATCTAGACTGAACAACATTTGCCCCAGGGTCCCTTACCAAATAAAAAATAGAGAAAAATATTAATAATACATATTTTTTATTTTTTTTAGGCATGGTCGGGCAAGTGGTCCTAGGCCACTCTGGTAGCCTAGTGCTTAATCAGCAACTGTTAGGACATCCAACATGTCTACCGTATGACATAAATACAACATCATGTGAAATCTAGCAAGAAAGACGGGGGGAGAGAGAGAAAGGTGAGAGAGAGGGGGGAGAGAATGGACACAAGACAAGCCGTAAAGTGATAAACCCGAACGCAACTGCTTGAAAATGGTAAACATGAAAAACAGCACCATGACGAAATAGGAGTTCCGCCTGGCGAACGACCCTACCGGTTTAACCTGGTCGCCAACCAAGATCATCATGGGTCTTTGGTCGGTGTTTAGACCATTGCAAACCTTGCTTATATGACTTGTGTCTAACTACGATAGTCAGTGGTCTATGAACAGTCTAGAACACCTAATTTGCAAACTTGTCCCGCCGCCAAGCTCATCAACTCCCCGCCAAAACTTATTACCTCCATAGCTTGAGACCCGCTCGAACTTCCCTACATTGAACCAGTACCTTAAGCGTACTGGATACATGTTCTGTCTGATATACCAAAACCTGTACCAAATTCATGTCCTATATGATTCTTCAGAAGTCTAGAAAAATCTGGGAAACTAGAAACTAAAAAAGTTACTTTGCTGATCTTGACGGGATCAGGACAACTTGCACCATGTCGCATCACACGTTTTTCCAAAGGAGATCACCGCCAACACCCCAGAAAGTTCGTACTGAGTTTACTATCCGCCGCGTATCTGGATCACGTTCGTCGCAAAAAAAGGCTCAAAAGACACCACCGCCCTTTTCAAAGAAAACAACACAAAGTCCGTAACGAGTTCTCTATGCACCACGTACCCATTCTTGTTGGCCCAGGGCAGAGTATCTCCATGGACTTAATGTATACTCTCGTGACCAGCAAGAATGGCAATGGGCACATCTTCATCATAGTGGATCAGTTCACTAAGTATGTTACTCTAATTGCCATGTCGGACACTGCGAGGACTGAGCACGTCATTAAGTTGTTCATGGACAACAGGGTGCGTGACTTTGGACTACCAAAGACCATTGTTAGTGATAGAGATGTCCGGTTTACCAGTGAGATGTGGAAGAAGGCCGTTATACACATCTAGATGTGTATAAGAGACAGAGAGAGAGAGAGAGAGAGAGAGAGAGAGAGAGAGAGAGAGAAGAGACAGAGAGAGAGAGGAGAGAGAGAGTTAAATTTTTTTTTTTTTCATCTCCAATCGTCCTCCTCCTCCTCCTCCTCCTCCTCCTCCTCCTCCTCCTCCTCTTCTTCTCCGCGGAGATCATGTCTCGTGCCGTCCCTTTGGCAGCAAGGACGATTGTGGCCGCCCGATGATGGAGGCAAGGGGAAAGGTGGCAGCAAGGGCAAAGGCGGCAGCAAGGTCAAGGGGGCCAACAACAAGCCGCCATTTGATCCTGCACCGGAAGCAAAGCAGATGGAGCTGGAGAAGAACAAACCAGCGTACAAATGGGTGTTGCGCGAACAGGAGGTGGAACCTTTGGGGTATGGCAACTACTGGCACAAGTGCAAGCTCTGTGGCCGGTTGTGGACAGCGTCATACACACGTGTTGTCGTCCATTTCACAGCGAAGAGGGACCCATGTCCTGGGCGGACCGGGAAGATCCTCCATATCCTAGCGAGCAAGGGGGCGAAGATCGACTGTCCTATCACGCGTAGAATCATCCAACTGTAACGACGGGAGAACGACATCGCAGACTATTCTAATGCAGAACCCGTGGTGGACGCTGCGGAGGAAGTCACCTTGGCGGAGTTCATCGTGCCCCCTCCGGGATCTGCAACAGCACGACCATCCGCCAAGTTGCAACAAGCTTCCATCCGACAGTGGACAGAAAACACCTCGCAGCAGCGCTTGGACATCGCGTGGGGGTTTCATTTGTACGAGCACGGGGCTCCCTTCAACTACGTGACCGGGGAGAAGACGCAAGAGCTCCATGAGTTGTACTTGGAGCTGGGGGAGAAGAAGCAAAGGGTGAAGATGCCGAACAGAATGCAGATGGCCATAGTTGTCCTCGACATTGCATACGAACAGACACGAGACTGGATGAGGCCGCACGGAGGGATGGGATGTCACAGGCTGCACACTGATCACGGACGGGTGCATGGATCGCAAGTTCCGACCCGTCATGAACTTCATTGCAGCCGGCGAGAGCAGAGCTGTTTTGCTGAAGGTGGTCGATATGTCGAAGTGAAAGAAGACTGCAATCGCGTTGGCAAAGTTGTGGGAGGGGGTGATCCGTGAGATCGGTGTGCAACGAGTGAATGCTTTATGCACAGATAACGTCGAGGTGAACAAGCATGCGGCCAGGCTGTTGAGGAGGCGAACAGATCTCAACATCTCAAGGATTCCGTGGGTGCCTTGCGCGGCTCATTGCCTCAACTTACTTCTCAAGGGAATTAGCTACGAGCCATGCGTCCACGAGTTGTACAAGAGGGGCAAGACCATTGTCAAGTGCATCAAGAACCACCACAAGACAGCGCAGCTGTTCCTTGACAGCTTGGAGACAGAACGGACCAGGACACTCATCATGTCTACGGACGTGCGGTTTGCCTCTGTGTACCTCATGTTAGAGAGGTTGTTCGACCGGAAGAAGGTGCTGAAGAACATGATGAAGGAAGGGTGGCTGGACATCAAGTGGTCTTCGAGGAAGAAGCGCAACATTGCTGATGTTGTGTACATGACAATTCGCTCTGACGATTGGTGGAGGGAGGTGGAGGCGGCCGTGGATATCATGTATCCGGTGTACGATCTGTTGCGGAAGATGGACAAGAGCGGGACCGCCCCGTACCAGTTGTGGGGCTTCGAGGATGCGTTGATAAAGCGGATGGCCACCATTCCCACCCTCACACCAGCGCGGCAGGAATCCATTGCGAAGAAAGTGAGGAAGCGTTGCAAAATGATGCACCAGCCGGTGCATGCAGCAAACTTCCTCCTTAACCCCGCAAAGCGCGACCCTCGATGGATGCAAGACCCTGAGTGCCCGCTTGTGCAGAACACCATGAAGTTTTTGCTGTCTCAATGCAAGGAGGGGGCGCTCTGGGGGTGCAAGGAGCAGCTCCACTTGTGGGAAGATTTGAAAGTGTTCCATAAAGAGCCGAAGGGGAATTCGAGCCTGCCACCCGCTAAGCAAGACAGTTTGTGGACAGACTTCGCGAAGTTCGACAGCAGCCTTGACAAGCACACCTCTTCAGATTGGTGTTGGTGTCACGGGAAGAGTCACCCGAAACTGCAACGCATAGCAGTTCGTGTGACAGCGATGTGGAGCACGGCTACACCGTGCGAGCGCAACTGGTCCACTTTGGACCTCGTGCATGAGAAGAGGAGAAACCAGCTTTCCAGCGAGACTATAAACAAGCTTGTTTATGTGCACTGGAACCTGCAATTGTTGAAGGTGAAGAAGAAGAAGGCAGGGGGCTTCATCGACATATGGGCTGATTTCTTTGGTGTAAACGGTCCTCTGCCCGCTGCAGATCCTGACATTCTTCCCGATGACGCGCTCCCGTCAGCGGAAGAGTTGGCTTGGCGGGATCGTCTGAGGAAGACGCCGTACGAAAGAGTTCCGAAGGTGGGGAGGGTGGACCAGTCCAGCGGGACCGACAACAATGATGATGGGGAGGATCTGGTATGGAGGGGGAAGGGGAACAAAAGACAGGGGAAGGACTGTTTGGATGCTCCACCAGAGGGAGGGGTAAAGCGCAAGTCGATTACGAATATTATGGAGAAGAGGAAGAAGAGGAGGATGAATACGACGACATGGAGTTTGGAGTTCTAGGGAGCGTGGACTCTAACGAAGAGCACAACGACGACGATGATAAGGATGGGGATGCTCTTACGATGGGGCAACCGACAGGTCAATTGGATAGCGACCTTAAGTGCTTGATGCCTTGTTCTGAAGTCCGGCAGCGAGCCCCGGATGATGATGACGAGGCCGTGAGAGCGATGGCATAAGCACTTGCAAAGAGAGATCATGCCATCGTGATGCAGCGTGTGGAGGAGGAGGAAGCGAGGCGTGTGGCTGTTCCCCCTCGGACCGCAGGAAGTGTGGCCGTTGCAGCAAGTGGTGGGCAACAGACCGAAGCGGCATTGGAGGAAACAGCGTCCGGGTCACAAACGCACCGTGAGTTGACCGAAACGACACTGCAAGGTTGTAATCCATCCGCCGAATCGAACGAGGAAGCACAGGAAGACGGGCATGGTGCACAAGGCAGGCCAGATGTGTCGCATGTCTACAAGAGGCGGACGCATGCAGCCTCTGCACGTCCACCTCCCATTGTGCCCTCCGAAGAGTCTCAGCCAGACTTCCCTCCTTTGCTTGCTGAATTGCAGCACGACAACCTAGAGAAGAGCACGGTGGGAAGGAAGAGGAAGGAGGTGGAACAGACTGCACCAATCGCTACAGCAAAGAGGGGACGGGGAAGACCTCGGAAACAAAGACCTGAGATGGTGTGTGAAGCGGGAGATCTGCCCCGTCGCAGAGAACGAAAAGAGCGGGCGGCAAAGAAGAACCAGCATGTCATTGAAGATGACGACGAATCCACGGATCAATCGGGGGACAACAGCGGCGGCGGCGACGACGACCTCGGCTCGGGCGATGAATGGCGTTAGATGATGATGATGATGATGAGAGAGAGAGAGAGAGAGAGACAGAGAGAGAGAGAGAGAGAGAGAGAGAGAGAGAGACAGAGAGAGAGAGAGAGAGAGAGAGAAAAAAAAAAAATTGATATCCGTGTTTTTCACGGTTGCAATGTGTTTGCAACTTTTGAAACAGTCTGGAGAATGCGCAAAACTCAGCAGTCTGTATCATTGGTTTTCAGGGTTTGGAGTTTCTTTGTGTATCCTTGTGTGAGTGCGAGTGTGTGTGTATGTGTGTCTTTGTGTGAGTGCGAGTGTGTGTGTATGTGTGTAAGTACAATGGTGTGTGCGAGTGTCTGTGTGTATTTGCCACTCGTAGACCTGGGCCCATCGCCCCTGCAGAACCCTGCCCTCCCCCTCAACCG